GATATCTGTGATTGCTATTTGGTATCTCGTTCCCCTTCTGAGCCCAATCCATTTACTGGCGAAGGCGAGGATATTTGTTTTGCTTCCTCGACGGAGAGCATTTCTCTTGCGGCTGGTTGTTCTCCACACACTATTTTGACTCCTCTCGATGTTGGGAATTTAAGGACCTGGTGTATGGTCGAAGGTACCGCTCTCATGTTGTGGATCTATGGCCTTTCGAAAAGGGCATTGTATCTCATGTCGCCTTCGATCACGTGGAACTTCGTTTCCTGGATGGTTCTAGCCACATTTATCGGTAGAATTATCTCGCCTTTGGTGGTTTCACATGCCATATTGAATCTGTTTAGAACCAGGGTTGCGGGTACAATCTGGTCCTGCAGGCCGAGCTATTCTACGACCTTCAATATGATGATGTTGGCCTAGCTACCTGGATCAATCAGCACACGCTTCACTTTAGTTTTATTCATGAGTATGGATATTTCTAGTGCATCGTTATGATGTTGTATGACTCCTTCTGCATCTTCATCATTGAAGGACAAAGTTCCTATGGGTGTGTAATCTTGAGTTCGAGATCGATTTTCCCTCACAATCGATGTCTTAGTGCGTTTAAGCACCGGCCCCTGAGGGGTATCGGCGCCACCGATTATCATGTGAATGACGTGTTGTGGTTCTTCTTGTTCGTTTTGCTTTCCGAAATCCCTATTTTTAAAATGGTTCTTCGCCCTATCGCTTAAAAATTCTTGAAGGTGCCCTTTGTTGAATAACCGGGCTACTTCCTCTCTTAGTTTCCTGTAATCTTCCACTCTGTGGCCATGGGTGCCATGATATTCGCACATTTGATTGGGATTCTTCTAGGCAGGATCGGTCTGTATGGGTCGAGGCCATTTAGTGTCTTTGATGCGTACGATAGCTGACACGATAGTGGATGCATCAATGCTAAAGTTATATTCCGATAACCGAGGCGCTTCCTTAGATCCGGCAAGCCTATCAAACCTACTTCTGTTCATCAGCACTCGGGACCCTTGAACTAGATCATTTCTTTTGTTATTTTGCCTGGGGTTATGTCTCGATTCACTGACTCTGCGGTTTCCGTTGTACAATCGGTATCGATTCCCGATCGAACCTTGTTCTCGATTAATATCCCTTCTAACAACGGGTTCAGACCCCAATTGATCGTCTTCGACCTTAATTTTTGATTGGTACCGATTGTGCATGTCGGCCCACGTGATGGCTGGGTATTCGATCAGGCTATGCTTTAACCATCGTGAAGCCGTCGAACTTCGTTCGTTCAAACCTTGAGTGAAAGCCTGAACAGCCCAATCGTCTGTGACTGGTGGCAGATCCATTCGTTCCATTTGGAAACGAAATACGAACTCCCTCAGCATCTCGTTATCCTTTTGTTTTACCTTGAAGAGGTTTGATTTCCTTTTTGCGACTTTTATGGCGCTGGCATGTGCTTTCACAAAAGAATCTGCTAACATGGCGAACGAGTCGATGGAATTTGGTTATAGGTTGTGATACCAAATCATTGCTCCCTTCGAGAGGGTCTCTCCAAATTTTTTTAACAACACAGATTCGATTTTATCGTCTTCTAAATCATTGCCCTTGATGGCACATGTGTAATAAGTGACGTGCTCGTTGGGATCGGTCGTTCCATTATATTTGGGAATTTCAGGCATACAGAATTTTTTGGGGATTGGTTTTGGGGCTGCGCTCGAGGGAAAAGGTTTTTGCACGAATTGTTTTGAATCCAACCATTTTATCATTGGTGGAGCTCCCGGGATCTGATCGACCCTAGAGTTATATATTTCTACTTTTTTATCGTTGGCTTCGACACGCTTTGTGAGTTCCTCGAGCAATTTAGCAATTTTGGGAGTAGTCCCCGATTCTTGCTCATTTGACTTCACTATGGCTGGCTCCGTTCTGTGGGTGATTTCTCGAGGTGGATTGGGCTCCAGGCTGCTTTGTAGCTGGCTTTGGCTCTGCAACTGAGCTATTGCTGCCTGTTGAGCTTGCAACATTTCGAAAATCATACGCAAGCTGACGCTGTTTTCCTCGACGTTATGGGTATCTCGAGCTGCAGACCGAGTGCCACCATGAATGCTATTTTCGGGTTCAGAATGTAGGTTCGCCTCAATGGCCACATGCGAATTGATATCTATCAGTGCTCCGATTCGGGCTCCAACGGCATTGACAAATGGTCTTTCGGTACTGGGTGTCAAGTTATTGTTCTTATCTTGAAGACCGGCTTCGTTATCGATCGGTGTGGCCATTTGACTGGTAGTTAGTCGTTGCTAATCCGAAATCCAAGATATTTTCGAAAACAAGCGCAAAACAAAACGGTGTGTTTTTGTTGATTCGTATCAAATAACCACTGTTATCCTTAGCCCCACGGTGGGCGCCAAACTGTTTACCCGAAAAATAGATAGAGTTGAATTTGTACGTAGTTCTAAGGATATGTAGTGTAGCTTAATACAAATCGTAAGGATAAATAGAAATATCAAGTATGGATTGCAAAACATGCAAAATAGACAAGGTTGTAAAGAAGATGAATTTTAGAACTAAACAAGTGGAATCAAATTAAGAAGCTTGAAAGAACAACTCTTCACTATAGGAGAATATGGTGCTTGAATTGCAATGTTAGTAAAAACTTGCCCTCTACAGAAATGATAACCATCGCTTTATAGTGGAGGGATCTTACTTCAGATATAATTAAAAATACCTAGTGGGAGACCCATGATAAATCAGCTTTTCCACAATTCCTGCCAAGATTCTCTCCTCTAGTGGGATTGCAACGGCTCTTGTCTACAAGCTCGATATTGACTCGAGTTTTCGGTCTTGACTCGAGCTCTCGATCTTGGCTTGAGCTCGATTCTGACTCGGACCCTTGAATTGATTCGGGCTTAATGTTGGTCGGTCTCTGGATCATAAGCTCGACAACTTTACTTTGCATCATGGTTCGATTTGGATTCGAGCTTGATTATAATATCGAGCTCGACATTGATCGGCCCCTCGGACTCGAAGCTTGTTTGTACCATCTTCGAAACTCATCTCGAAGTCTTACTTCGATCGATTATGTTTCGAACTCGATCAATCGTACGAAAGCCGAAATCTATTTCGACCGTATACAAATATAAACCTTTCACTTTATTTATTTATTTATTTTTCACTCGTGATTGCAAAACCAAATGTACAATTGAAAGAGCAAGAAATGAGAGTCCACTAGTGTTTACATGAAAAATGTCAAGTTGATGTGGTGCCTAACCATTTGGTACTTATACTTTTGTACCTAATACCAACGTAGTGCCTTTCTCTGATTCCCATGTACCTTGGAATCAAAGGATACTATATATAGAGGTTGCTCTTCCTTTTGAAACACGTTTCAATTATTAACCTTTCAAACATAGAAAGATTACACAAACCTTTCTAAGAAGGAAGAAAGACTTTAGAATCTTCAGACAAATATTGACATTGTCTCTTCCCTCAATTTATAATGTTTCTTTCCTCTTAGCATATATATAACAAGCTTGTATAAATTTCTCTTTTGGCAGGGAAGTGAAACTTTGCTCACATACCCTTAAAAAGCATATGAGAGTCTCTGGTCCTATTGGTTTTGGGCATCATTGAAAATTTTAGACCAAATATATATACTGATCCTTAAAGTTGGTTTCAGTTTCCATTTTAACACTTCAACTAAGGTCATTACCTATTGAATACTTAAACTCTAACAAAATTGTACCTATTGAACACGAACTATGACATGACATAGTATGTGAAATCACACCCTCTTTTGAGAGCGTGAAAAGGAAAAGTAAAGGAAATAATTTTTTTAATTTTAGATTTTTATCTTCTCTCCTTAATTTTAATTTTTGAGTTTAATTAGGAAATATTTTTTTGCTGTCATCACCTTTAGGACAGCTCCCCCCGATAGCCACGGCCTCCGAAACCAACTCCATCTCCTTTATTTTGGAGTTCTAATTTCATTTTAGAGTTGGATTCCTTCACTAAATTGATTTTATTCATCATTTTTGCTACCTGAGAATCTAATTTGAGGAGAAAATTTTGACTTCCATTGGAGCATCGAGTTTGAATTAAAAACAAAAAAATAGATCTGAAAATTTTGAGTAGAAATCAATTGGTTGTTATAGATTCTAGTTGGAAACATTTGTTAGAATCTGAATCTAAAGTTTGAGTGCATTTTTGAATTAGTTCAAATTGTATTCTTGGGTCAAATATTTCATAGCCGCTCGACGAGGAAGATGACATGGGTTTCCTTAAGTTCGTGTATGTTTGATCAAATTAATTACTGAATTTTGTTCTAATCGTCATTCAGAGTCTATAATTACATTTGAGTTCGATTGGAGATGTATAGGCTGAGATCGGATTAACAAAAACCTAAGCAAAATTGAAGAATACCAACTAAGTTTATTTTAATTTGTTATTGGTTTGTTCAGATAATTGTGGTTGCTTCTATTCGTTATTTGGAGAAGATGGGGCAAGAAAAATTTGGCCAGTGAGGAGTTGGAGACGACGGCGGTAGGGACTGTGCAGGGTTGGGGATGATGCAGGCAAGAAATTTTTCTTTTCTTTTATTTTCTTTTTTTCCTTTCAGATTTTAGTTTTTTTTGTCTTTGTTGACATGTCATTTTATCATTGGTCTTGTTTGCCAAGTAGATAGCAACTGATATTCACACACCAAAGATGATTTGGGATTATCAAAGTTGTATTTAATAGGTACACTTTTGTTGGAATTGAAGTATTCAATGGCTAATGACCTTAGATGAAATGTCAAAATGAAAATTAAAACCAACTTTAAGGGGCTGCGTATATATTTGGCCAAAGTTTTACCTTAAGTTAGGCTGATAAGTACAATTCAGAGTTTCAATTCTATAATTTAAACCAAACATGCATGAATGCAAGAAGAGAAGCTTTCTCCAAGAAAACTGTAGGTCTTTTATTTGAACAGTAAAATCAATATGATAAATATTTCTTTCAGAATAAAAGTTAACCGTACAAATCTAAATGATCCAAGGGATATCCCGATTTGCAAATCAATTTCTGGTGCAGCAACTGATATGCTCCTTGAACAGGGTCTACTGAAAATAACATCTCTATCTCCACAAGATAAAGGTAAGGTCGCGTATACATTACACACTATCCTCTCCAGACCCCATTACCTTGTCGTTGTTGCCTTTACTTTTATCATTGAGAAAAAGAATACCTAACAAGATGCTTCCTCTATTAAAATTTCCAAAACTAAATACCCCTTTAGATGCCTCCTCCAGTGGCGGACGCACATGGTGGCAAGCAGGTTTAACTGAACCCGCTTCATGAAAAAATAATAGTAAGTATATGTATAAATTAGGATTAAAGCTGCATAAATTTTGTATAAATACTTTATTTGAACCCACTTGACAACTAGTACTATTTTACGACTAAAGTTATGTACTTTTAAGATTGAACCCGCTTGCACAAAATTCTGGGTCCGCCACTGGCCTTATCTATTCTCCCACTGTAAGCCCAAAGTATCTTCCTTTTCATCATCAACCTCCGCTAAAAGAATGAAACCTAGGCCGAGCAATCTCCCAAGCAATGATACGGCCATTGGAATCAATCTTCCCTGTAAAATGATATTGCAAAAAGGATGTTTAATCATAACGAAAGCTTGTCGTGACATTTTTAGACATGTAGTTGTGAATAAAGCCACTCTCACCTGAAGCAATGCCAAGAAATTTTCCGTATGATAAATATCTGTCTTAACAATATCATGTAATCATGTTTCTTGAACTGAGTTTGTCTCCGAGCAATGTAACTTTCCAGCAGTCCACTTGTAGCATAAATACAGAAAGCTTTTTTGGCACAACTGCAAAAGCAGTGAAAAAACAAGTATTAACAACAACTGGACTTCTGCATTCTTGGCCCATCCCCTTCTCTCGGGATAAATCAAAAAGGGAAAGAGTAGTAGTTTTTTCTCAGCTTGGTTAAAGATTTTCGAGCTCTTTGCATGTTGCACTTCTCATGTATACATCATCATTTCTATCTATGTAAAATGCTTCTCTGCTTAAAAGATTACCAGATATAATATCTGATTTGTCTAATATGCTTTTTCTGGTGGCGTTTGCGTGAGTTTTTATATCTGCATTGTTTAATAAAACGAAAAAGGGCCGGAACTGCCCCTGAAGTATTGGAATTGGTACAAAATTGCCCTCCGTCCACCTATTTGAATAAAAATGCCCCTACCGTTATTTTTTTGGCTCAACATTACCCTTATTACTAACAGAAAATTCATTAAAAAAAATAATTAAATAATATTCACGTGTCACCGTCCCATTGGTCTAACATAAACCCCAACCCGCTCTAATTTTAAAACATAACTGTCTCTCTCTCTCTCTCTCTTCGCTATTTCATATTAGTGAGCATTTACTTACGAGTGTATGTCTACTATTATTCATGAGGCAAACTCAAAATTGAGTTCTCTATTAGAATTATTTTTATGGAAGATGGAAGGAATTGTCATAATCTTCTTAATGCAAAAAGTTTAGATTCTTTTTGTTTATGCAATGGGTATTCTTTGTTATATAATTTTCTTTATTTGAAATTTGTGGGAGGGTTTCTTCACTATTTTTTGTCATTCCTCCGTGAAAATTTGAGGATTTGTTTTTCAATTTTTTTTTTTATTATGTATGTGATGTGTATTTCTATTTTTTATTTATTTCACTATTTATTCAATTAAAATGTAAGCTTTTCTACTCCGTGTAACGGGTATTGTGCAATTGTCACATTTCATACACACTGGGTTCATATGATGTACTAATAATAATTAACAAGTTTTTTAGATCATTTCTTCAGTATTTATTTTCTTATTTTGATTGTTATCATGGATTCAATTTTCTCGATTAGATTATTGTGTTAAGTCTAGTAAAAAAAAGGATTTTCTACTCATAATTTGCAAATGAGAGGCTACTGTGTACGTTGCTATTTTCGGCGGATCCGCCGGTAAATTCCGCCCAAGTAGCAATAAGGCAGATAGAGAGAGAGAAAGAGAGAGAGAGAGAGAGAGAGAGAGAGAGAGAGAGAGAGTTGGATTTTAAAATCGGAGCGGGTCTATATTCGGACGGGTTAAGGGTGAGTTTAGTTATATTTTTGTTGAAGTTTAAGTTAGGCCAATGGAACGGTGACACGTGAATATTAATTAAATATTTTTTTTCTTTCAGAATTTTCTGTTAGTAATAAGGGCAATGTTGAGCCAAAAAAATAACGGGAGAGGCATTTTTATTCAAATAGGTGGACGGAGGGCATTTTTGTACCAATTTCGATACTTCAGGGGTAGTTTTGGCCCTTTTCTGTTAATAATATACACTTGCGATTTTAGAATTTGATAACCAGTGTTGTGAAGAGCGTGAAGCGAGGAATAGCGACAAGCCCCTTTTCGCTTAAAGCGAGAAGTGAAGTGCTCGCTTTTTTGAAGTGAAGTGGAATTTTAAAAAAAAAATACTGCATAGACAATTCATGTAACGGTAAGTAAATGTTCAATACTTCAATGTAAAAACTAAACAGTAGCATCAATTAAAGCACAAAATGAGCATCCTATTCTTCTACAAGATTGTCAAATTCTTGTATTCCACTATCATTATTATATTGCTCGTCATCTTCTTCGCCAACATTTCGCTGCTATTTGGACGCTGAAACAATGAAAGAAGGAGGAGGAGGAGGAAGAAATCACATACCTGTTGTTGTTGGTCGTATGTTGAAGTTGAAAAGTGTACAAGACTTGGAACCCCAGTCGCCTCTTTCTCTCTGTTGTTGCTGGTCGTATGTTTTAATAAAAGAACACCTTTCTTTTTTAATTAAATAGGTTGGTGTTTAATCAGAGAAGCGCTCGCTTCGCTTCAGCGCTTCTCGCTTTTTAGTGGGAAGCGCACGCTTTTGCCTACCTGAGTCGCTTCATATAGCAGAAGCGGTCAGAGGGTCGCTTCGCTTCTCGCTTTAAGCGAGGAAGCGACCGCTTTTCACAACCCTGGATAACTTTAGTTTTGGTTTGGGCTCCTTTCTTAACAAAATTGAACCTCTCATCAACTACTTTTCTATTCTTATCTATCTAGTTTCGATTTTGTTTTCATGGTTGGTGATCGTGCTAAATATTCTGTCAATGCTTAGGCAGGAAACATGACGTTCCTAAGAAATATTAAAAGCACACCAGCTTGTTTCCTCCTCCAAATGGATAGGGATGGAAACATTAGGTGTACCTGGGATAGGATGAATTTTCAGGCAGATTCAGTCACCAGTCTGCGTAACCTGCCTCTACATGACAGGCAAATCACAATATAGCAGGGCATCTGCCTAACTCTTTTTTTAATAAATGAATTTCCGACAAAAAAGGTGACAAACAAACTCAAAAGGGAGTTGTATGCACTGAGAATTCATCCTTTTATGCCCAACAAGATGACACATATACTCTCGAAAGAGTAGACTCAAGTGTGTGAAGATAAATTAATGGAATCAAAATTATAGCATTCCTACGTTACCCCTTCATTAATAAGTGTTCTAATGAGTTTGCAACAAGATCAATACATTGGGGGGGAAATCCTAAAAATTAAGAAGATATGGCGCAAATAAAATTTACATACATGATAGGTTGTGCAAAAATGCAAAGAACTCAGGATTTTCACATACAAGGTTGAAGTTAGCTAGAATTATGATTCATGCCTTATATTCCAGTACAGCCTACTTCTAAGACATTGCTCATTCATTCAAAACAGTAACTGATGAAGTAAAGGCCACTGCTCCATTTTGATTTACATCAGAGATACTCTTCAGGATGTGAGAATCCGAGTTTCGGAACTATAGACTTAATTAGCAAGCCTCTGAAAATGTCTCATTCATTCAGTAACTGATGAATTAAAGGTCACTGCTCCATATTGATTTATAGTAGACAGTTCAAAATGTGAGAATTAGTATTGGAACTACAGATTTAGTCAGCAAGCCTCTGGAGCTGTCTATAACATAATAAGAACCAGCTAATCTAAACAATATTTTGGAGGATATACATAATTTACCAACAAGGTGTATCAAGTAAAAGTTTCAGGTTGCAATGACAGCAAAAATTGACGCATGGCAACTCACAGCTTAATGAGAAGCCGAATAACTAAGAATAGCTGAAATAAGGATAAGGTTGGACAAGAGTATATCGAATGAGCCTGAGCTAAGGTAAGATTCCCAGAGAGAGAGTCAGGAAGGGTAACTATCCCTAAAATGTTTCTTTTAGAACAAGAGCAAATCCGCTAAGGTGCCAATTTTCCTGTGAATTCAAAATTGACATACAATCTAATAAAGCTAAAATGCGAATGGCACAAGTAGAGACGAAAACTACCAGAACTTGAAAAAACTGCGGCACTTGGTGTTTATAATTCAATGCTTATCAAGGCGAGTGGCCCCAGCAAAAATTACTCAACCAAGACAGCAAAAGAAAATTAAGGAAAAGAGAAGACAGAAGAAGCAAGCGTCATAATTTATTCTATCCGGCATTAGGGCTACTGAAAGTGGACCGGAAAAGACATATATTTGCCACTTCATAAGTTCATATAGCTAGTTACCAACGAAATGCAAAATTGAACAGGATATAAACCTTGGAATTTGTTGTCGTTTGTGATTATTCCAAATGTTTCTACGGTCTCACGAATCATGATACCACGTACACCACTTAAGCCAGCTATTTTGCACTGAACAACTGCAGGAAATAAATACCATAATGTTTCAGAAACAAAGTTGTTATATTCTCTGTGTGCATGTGCCAGTGTGCAAGAGTTAAACACAGTGAATTCAATTTCTCTATTACAGTTCTGTTTCAGGCTTTATATAAAGGCAACCTCTTATTGTTATTTAGCTCATCACAAAAATGCTTAGGTCCTTGTAAAACATTAATGACAGGACAGACTCAGCGAGTACTAACACCGCATTCCTTAAAATAGTTTTGAAGGGTCTATCTAAAAGAGTTAAAGAGGAGATTGCTTAGTTTTACCTAGAATTAGTGCACCATGTAAGTCTGCATTAAGGAGACATTGTGATAACTGATTTTTCCTGCAAGGCCAATACGGAGATGAGAGAGACATATAAGTCAATTGTTTAGCCGGATCACTAGAGGAAAAGCATCTTTTCCGAAAAAATTAATCCTCAAAAAAAGCAAGAAAACAAAAAGTCAACCCAATATTCTTCAGGAGTTTTGTTACAAAGTCTTTCCACTTATCGTGCATTGGTTTGAAGATGTTATAGCTGCAGAAAAAGCCACAAAAGAGTTATCAGAATTCAGAACAAGAGATGATCTGGGCAACACCAGAAACTGAGTACATAATTTTGCTGCTCAAATCAATAGAGAAATAAAAGGCAAAAAGAACAGCAAATGGGGGGAAAAAGAACACCTAACCTATAAAAGAACAAATCAAAGTAGGGAACTTAGCTAGTCAATATAAGAACAACAATGAAGGCCAAGCCAACACTGGATGCATATAAAAGTTGAAAGGGTATAATACCTTTCAACAAATCAAAGTAGGGAACTTAGCTAGTCAATATAAGAACAACAATGAAGGCCAAGCCAACACTGGATGCATATAAAAGTTGAAAGGGTATAATACCTTTCAACAAATCAAAGTAGGGAACTTAACTAGTCAATATAAGAACAACAATGAAGGCCAAGCCAACACTGGATGAATATAAAAGTTGAAAGGGTATAATACCTTTCAACAAATCAAAGTAGGGAACTTAACTAGTCAATATAAGAACAACAATGAAGGCCAAGCCAACACTGGATGAATATAAAAGTTGAAAGGGTATAATACCATGAGGTATAATCAACTATGAGTATCTAGAAATATTTGGCTCTATGTGAACCCACCATACACAAGCCCTGGAAAAGCATAATCTTTCACTGCTGAACAAGGTGAAGCATCCAACAACTAGCTTTGTCCCTAGAATCCTAGATGAGCAATATAGATAAAAGGTCAAATAAGTAGACAACTGAATTTGATCATCTGGAAGTTGGATTTTATGCAATGGAACCACACGGGTGTAAGATATCCATTTAGGCCTTTAACTTTCTAGATAAGCAATATCTACTGCAAGCAACATTAGGGAGAAGTATTAGCAGCTTATTTCCTCTCGAGGATAACTGCAGATAGATACCACAGCAGACAGAGGACATATGCAACATGAGATTCAGTGTATCAGTTAATCTCTTAATCAAGAATCATCACATGAAAAGGTCATGTTACTGGGTTTCTTTTACACCAAATTTTTTACCATATTAAAATAAATAAATAAATAAATAAATAATAAAACCAAATTTAAATCTACAAACCACCATGAGACTTCAACATTCAACTTTCAACATAGTCAGACTCATCTAGGGAAAAATAAACACATTATACTGTAGCAAGTTGGATTTACACATAATTCCTTGCTGAGAAGGACAGAAAGGTTTTGAAAGGCAAGCTAAAACTAATTTATTCAGGAAAAAAGAAAAAGCGCAACTCACTTATGGAACTCTTGAGGCAAATCAAATGATCCAAACTTCTTATGTTGCTTCATGGACATACGTCTTTTAGATCTCTTTGACTGTCTTTGCAAAGCCCGAATACGAGCTCCAGAAGCAATGCTGCTTTTTTGTACAACATTATCAAGAAGAATCCAGTTATCAACTTTCACATTTTTTGACCCTTGCATATATTTCTGAGCTGAATCACAATGTTGGAGAAGATCATGCAAAATATCATTAACAGTCATGATTTTACTAGAAATCTGCAACAAACAAAGGGGATCGGTAATAAAGAAGCTATTAATTAATCGTGCGCATTCTTGAAACATTATTTTGTTCACACGTGTTCTTACCTCAGTAGTTGTTTTCAAAAGATTCTCGTCTACTGCATGAGAGAGCTGAAGGTATGCTGGATTATTCAGCTCGACATCTATATTGCAGGATGAAATTTTAGCATCCTAAATTGGTCTCATATAAACCTTCCTACAGATAACAATGCAAGAGAAGCATACAGAAGAAAGGTTGTACCTTGAGCAGATGTATGGCCACAAAAAGATAAATAGCCTACAAAGAAGCCAGGAAAATGTTTGGATGAGATACAAGAGGAAATCACATTAAATATTTAACTTATATTCCTGGAAAATGCCACTGTTACACTGTTTTTGGATGCCAAAAGTCAATTACGGATAATTCAAGGAGAATAAAGATTAAAGAGACAAAAAATTCAACAAATCCAAATTCCCTCATTTTGTTTGGCTTCCAAAGAAAATATTAAACCACACAATTAACTTTTTCTTTATAAGGTAATAAAAACTATACAATAACTTCCGAACATAAAATAATTTTTTACACAGTGAATTATAATACAATTACAACTACTTTCTTTTGAAATGCCAGTTCCAATCACGTATAGAATTCAAAAACACAATTCCAATCAATGAGAAAGAAGTACACATAGTAATTGCAAGTTTGTTTCCTTCTTTTTAAATAACGGGACATCATGGTCCGGCAAGCTGTTCTGTTGTTGGATTCCACTATTGAAGACAATTAATGTAGGCACCGAGGAACATCTGGGAGCATGTGCACTAGGTTGGTCCTGAATAAGTTGAAGAGAAAAACGGACTATCACTACGATTACTAAGTGATACACCATGACGAACTGAGGCAGTTTGGTGACCAGATGAAGGCTCTAGAGGATTTTAATCAAACATAAATCCAATATTCTCACTATTGCAACCAAAACTTCCTGGAAACACTCATCATTCTTCCTCTCTTTCTTCTCCTTCTTTCATATTATCCATCTAGGTATATATGAGGGAATCATTTTCTTTAGTAATCAAAGCTCATCCTATAAAATTCTATACACCCAAACACAACATTGGACATGTAAAACAAGTTCTTGTCCTGAGTGTAGTTAGTCTAAACTTGCGACAAAGGGTGTAGCCCAGTAGTCAATTCAAATCTTGAAGACCAAGGTTCAAATCCCAAAAGAAATTAAAAAATACTAGGTAATTTCTTCAATCCTGCCTAACACTTGGTGGATAGAGTTACCGAATACTTATGCTGGTGGGAGGTAGCATGTACCTAGTGGAATAGCCGAAATGAGCGCAAGCTGGTCTAGACACAAATATTATATATATATATATAAAAAGTAGTTTATCTCAACTTTCGGGGTTTTCTCAACTTTGAATATATCTCAATTCTAAAGGCATTAGACAAAACACCAAGATCAGACTTTTCCTGCTCTGTTTTGCTTCCTCCAAGCTTAGATGATGGTATAATGCGCCTCTGTCCTAAATGCATGTTAGAGTTTGAAATACAAGAGTCCACGCATCAAATTTTCAGCATGACAACCCGAGATGAACTTAATACTAAATAAATTTGACACACACCACATTTAAATAAACTATATATACCACTAACTTTAGAAATTCTTTGAAAAAGTCTTAGTAAATCGAAAATGGATTGACTCATCAATGGCAATAGTGCCAAAATAAATTGGAACAGCCTAAGGACTAGTATTTAACTAAGAAGAAAGGTTGAAACCAGTTCTAGCCTTCTAGATAATCCCAAATAAACACTCATCATCACAGTTAAAGTTAAAGCTACAGCACCCCGCCTCCACCCCCGGGCAAAGAAAAAGACAACTCAACAGCACTCCCCTCCATTGAACCTAAACAGATTAGCTGCTGAATTGTAACTTGAAATTTGTTTGACAAACAGAAGAATATTTTGATAACAGAAGATTAACAAAAAATTGAACATTATTCCACTAAGTCCGCACAGTATAACTGGTTCAAAGCAGGGGTGGAAGTAAAAAACGTTTAGCTTTTTGATCAAATAGTATATCTGTATTAAAATATTTATTAAATAGGTAAAAAAAAAAATTAAAATTAGAATCATATTATTAATACTTGAAATCGTTATTATAAAAATCGATAACCCGTAAAGCTGAAATTGTGACTCCGATTCTGGACTTCAAAGTCCAGATAATTTGCAGTAATTTGATAGCCAGGCATAAAAAAAAATATTTGTGACTATGTAGACAGCACGAATATAGAGGAGGAATCTATTTTTAAAAAAACAGTGAAAGGTGGAGTTAAAAAAGATGAAACCTTTTTTGGATGATATAGCAGAGGAAGTTGCCTTTGCCTTTGAATTGATACCCTGGGAAGTAAGTCCAATGTTGTTTTCATCAACGGCAATTGTTGTTGTTGTTGTTGTTGTTGTTGTTATTGTAACAACTGAAACTTCTTGTTCTTGTGTTGTTGTACCTGAAGCTCAGCTGTGGCTTGAGCAAATTTTCGCTCTAATGCCTCCATTGTTCGCTGCTTCTGCTCCTCAGACCATCGCCATTGTTGTTCTCCCCTCGTCTGCTCGAGCTTTCTATTTGGTTACTATAATATAGAGGTTGTTTCGTTAAGTTGTTTTCGGCTTATGAGCACTTTTCAAGGTTATTACAAGTAAATTGCTTATAATTCATAAATAAGTTACCGTACGGTAAAGTTAATAAGTAAGTGCTTATAACTTGTAAATAAGTTAAAATCTTTTGAATTTTTAGCTTATAAATACTTTAAATTTGATCAAAATTTTTACTATTTTATCTCTAAAATATTACTTTTTAAAATAAAACTCCTACTATACCGATATTCACTGCCTCATATTTCTTCAAACCTAAACCCTTCGCCTCTTCAAGTCTGCAATTCTCGTTGACAATACTTGAGGTAAGGAAATTCTCTATTCCTTTGCATATTTTGTATCTATGTGATTGTGTATTAATCTTTGAATTGTAAGTAATAAACAAGGACATATCAAATTTTTGTTGTATTATTTTTTAAGTATTTTATTAATCTCAATGGACACTGGTGATGAAGACAAGAGATAAATTATTATTATTATATAGCTTATGATTATATATATATATATATATATATATATATATATATATATATCATAAAATAATCTTATCTAATCACATTTATATTTAAAGTAAAATGACAAATAGATTATTTTGTATTTGAATCGATCTTGAATCTAAAATCTTGAAGAAATTACGCCATTATAATGTAAACGCTTCTAAGGTTATTTAAGTCATTTTAACAGAAAAAGAGATTGTCAATACCTTTTTACCAAACAATGCAATATTTTATTATCAATTTCAGCGCTTGCATCCAAACACGTAACTGCTTATTTATTAAAGGTGTTTTTCAGCACATAATGCTTATCAGTTTATCAGTTAATCCAAACAAGCCCATAATGTAACAACTGAGAGTGAAATAAAGAAAATTACGTGAGATAATTAGCGCTAAATAGTACGGGCTAGCCAGTTTTTGGATTGGTCATTTAAAAATACCCGGCGTTTGCCAAGTCATTGAAAAATAGTCATTATTTTGCTGTAACAGAGACCGGTCCAGCATAATATACCGGAGTTCGGTGCACCTGTGTATGAACTGCCAGCATATTATGCTGGACTGATATACTTTGTTGGCTTCAGTATAATAAACTGGAGTTTCAGTATATTATATTGGAATTTCAGTATATTATTCTGGAATATTTTCCGTATTTTGATCAGTGTTTTCGATAAGATTTATCTTTACATAAAAAGTTGCTAAATTTCGATGACTTTTGAAACTGTGGCTATTTTTGAATGACCACTTGTAAATCTGGCTATTTTTGAATTTTTTTCGATAATTAGGAGAATGTTTGTGGTCAATTCACTTGAAAAGGCCCAAAACAGTAGCCCAACAAACATGGGCCAATCATTGGTCCAATCGTAGAGAAAAGGTCTGAATTAGATTGAATCCAAGCCTTCGGCGAAGACAGGAAAATATGAAGGAGCAACAAGTAGGAAATATAAGGGGAAAAACTCATATAATCCGTATAGAGTACGTTTACTTTGATTCTTGATATATAAGCTTGAACAGGATCATTTGGTACATATACTAGTGATATTGAGATTATAATAAAATACAAGGATCGTTTATTATGGATAAATGATAATAATGAATGAATTGTTATAGGGTGACACCTTGATCAGCGTGATGAGTAAGCAGATCCCATGCACAACCGTAAGAACCCCAAACACTCCCGTAGCCAAGCATAGGAGTGGGTAGGATGACCAACTATACCCTCCGACTTCAGGTAATACTCATGTGACTACTAACAGTACAGGTGGTGGCGTCCTCACTGCCGTACTGAAAAGGATGGAGGAGATGGCAAATGAGAACATGGTGCTCAAGGAGCAGATGAAAGAGTAACAAGAACGGGTAGACATGATACCAGGTGCCCCCAAATTGATAACAAAAAGAGACGTCAACGGGTTTGTAGAACAGCCATACAAGGAAGAAGTAGCCCCACATGCCATACCGAAAACCTTCAAGATGCCCTCGTACCTCAAAATTTATGACGGGACGACTGGCCCCGAGGACCATGTGACCCATTACGTCACCGCAGTAAAGGAAAATGACCTTACTAAGGAACAAGTGTTCTCTATCTTTTTAAAGAAGTTCGACGAAACCCTCACGTGGGAGCATTGACTTGGTACTTGCAGCTGCCGGCCTACTCCATAGAAACATTTGAGAAGCTGGTGGATAAGTTCGTAACAGCACACGCTTGAGCCAAGAAGGCCAAAAATAAGGTAAACGACATCATCGCTATCAGACAAGCCCTAGGGGAAGGGCTGAGGGACTTCCTATCTCGATTCAATAGGGAAAGAATGACCTTACCAAATGTCTCCGGAGGAATGGCCGTAACAACCTTCTAAAATGGGCTAAACAGAGATGGGTCGAGGGTGTCGAGAAAGCTACTCGGCCAACTGATAAAATGCTCACCGGCCTCCTGGGACGAGATCCATAACACCTATTGTGTCGAGGTCAGGGCAAATGATGAAGACCTCAATGGGCCAACCCGACGACTCACCTCGGTGCAGTCTAAACACAAAAGGGAACGTAGGGATAATATGAGGAGAGGCCACCCAATGTAGTGGACAGGAAGAGATCGGCATCAACCCAATGTCAGACAACCTGTCCCCAACTTTTACCGCGAAGATGGCCCCTCTAGGCCAAGATCAGATATCCCCAAAAGTGACCGTGGTATGGTTCCTTCACTATCTGCTCATAATTTCTGTATGTCACCTATAGATGTGGTCTATGCACCCAAGAAGCTCGGTCCAAAAGTGAAGTGGCCATCGAAGATAAGGTCCGACCAGAACACGAGGAAGTCGAACGCCTTCTGTGAATTCCACCAAGACCAAGGGCACAAGATCGAGGACTACCATGCCCTAAGGCTAGAGGTGGTGACTCTGCTGCAACAATAGCACCTTAAGGAACTTCCTAGTGACAAAGGCAAGAACACCTTAGCAAAAGAGCGAGAACGCCCAAGCTTGCTAAAGTCGTCGTCTACCGCCCGTACCATCAACATGATTATTGGAGGCAGCGATGACGCCTCCATCAATGGCATCAGGTTCACCGCCACTGACAAACTCAAGAGATCTATCACCCATGAATGGTATGATAGCCTCAAAGAAAGTATCATCTTTGATGAGTGAGATGTCAGGTAGTTTGACCTTCCCTCATAATGATGCACTCATTATTACTTTACACATTCTTGGTACTGATGTTAGGAGAATTATGGTTGACGACGGAAGCGGGGCATGCATTATCCATCCTCGAGTTCTTGTACAGATGCAACTCGAGGATAAGATAGTGTCATGCTGTAATCACACTAACGGGCTTTAACAATGCAGTTGAATGGACTTCGGGCGAGATCATCTTCCCCATCCTCACCAGCGAAGTGATGCTGGAGACCACCTTCCATGTCATGGACCAAGACATGGCGTACAATGCTATCATGGGTCGACCATAGATACACCCCATGGGGGAAATTCCTTCCAGCCTATATTAAGTAATCAAGTTCCCAACCCTTTGTGGAATATTCAGTATACTATAGGAACAACACATCCGGGAAATGCTATCGGATCGCCCTAGACAGTACAATCACTCACCAAAAAAAAGAAAAGGAAAAATAAACATAGTAGTCAGCGGGGTCGAGGTATCTTCAGGTCGAAGGAAATGACACCATCACATATCAAAAAATGGTCAAGGCTATCGGATCGACCGTATAGGACCTCAAGACCGTCCAGCTAGATCCAAGTGACCCCAGCAAAAAAGGCCTACATAGGTTGCAAGCTCAAGGACCCAGGTAAGTTCAGTCAGTTCTTATCAACTAACGCAGACCTGTTTGCTTTTAGCCATGCAGATATGCGAGGCATCCCCAAAGAGATATCTACGCACAAGCTGAATGTCGACCCCTACTACCCTTCAGTAATGCAGGTTAGAAAAAAGTTCAACCATGCCATCAACGAGGCCGTCCACGAAGAAGTGGAGGATGTGTGTTGACTTTACCGACCTGAATCAAACATGTCCGAAGGATTCGTTCCTATTACCGCATATTGACCAACTCATCGACGCCACAGCGGGAGACGAGCTGCTGAGTTTCCTGGATGCATACTCTGGCTATAACCAGATACTTATGGATGAGGAAAACCAGGATAAAACTATGTTCATCACTCACAAGGGGGACGTACTGCTATAGGGTCAAGCCATTTGGGGTTAAAGAAAGCAGGGGCCACGTACCAAAGACTGGTCACAAAAATGTTCAAAGACCAGCTCGACAAGACCATGTAAGTATACATCGATGACATGTTAGACAAAATCCTTGAGGGTCGAGGATCACATCGACCATTTGAAGGAAGCATTCAAAATATTAAGGAAGTACGGGATGAAACAGAACCCCTAGAAATGCGCATTTGGCATGACTTCGGGAATATTTCTAGGTTTTCTAGTATCACAACGCGGAATCGAGGTCAACCTAGATCAAATTAAGGCAATATTTTGGGATATCAGAGAAACTAACGACCAAGAAACAAGTGCAACAGCTAACGAGTCGAATCGCTGCCCTATCCAAATTCCTCTCGAGGTCGTCCTAAAGATGCCACAGATTCTTCAATGTACTAAAAAAAGATAACTGCTTCGAGTGGATGCCCGAGTGCAAACGAGCGCTGAAGGAACTCAAGGAATACCTGTCATCACTACCCCTACTCTCAAAGCTTGAGCCTGGAGAACGTCTCCTCGTCTACCTTGCCGTTTTAGAGGTACCGGTAAGTGTAGTCATGGTCCGAGAAGACAAAGGTACACAATCTCTAATTTACTATATTAGTAAGATGCTTATTAACGCCGAGATGAGGTATCCTCACCTCGAGAAATTAGCCCAGGCCCTAGTCGTAGCTTCAAGGAAGCTAAGGCCATACTTCCAATGTCATTCCATCTTGGTCGTCACCACATTTCCTTTAAGGAGTATACTGCACAAACCCGGACTGTCGGGAAGGGTAGCCAATGGGCAATAGAGCTGAGTGAGCATGACATTACTTACCATCCTCGCACAACCATAAAATCACAAGTGCTCACTGACTTTGTCGCGGACTTTAGCGCCAAGATAATGCCCGAGGCTAAAAAGGAAGCCACACAAGACCTCTGGGTCTTGCACACCGACTGTGCAACCAATGCATGCGGGTCCAGACTGGGACTGGTGCTCAAAGTCCTAACTGGCGAAGTCATCCGCCAATCTATAAGGTGCCCAGATATGACTAGCAATAAGGCCGACTACGAGGTAGTAATTGCAGGACTGAGGTTAGCACTAGAATATGGGGCGAGGCACCTAAGACTACGCTGCGACTCCCAACTCGTAGTCAACCAAGTTACTAGGAATTTCCATATTAAAGAGCAGAGATTACAGAAATATTAGACTGAGATCTGCAAACTGTTACCCATATTTGATGAATGTCAGCTCAACCAGATTCCATAAACTCAGAACGTTGAGGCGGACGGCCTAGCAAAATTGGCCGCCGTAACAAAAAGCATAACCTCTAAGACAAAAATATGGTTCATCTCCTCAGCTCTGCCTTAGACCATATCGAGGTAAAATCTATAAACTTAACCTAGGACTGGTGCAATTGCATTATAAATTACTTGCAGGACGACGTTCTCCCAAATGACAAAAAATAAGCCAGGAAGGTGAGAATGCAAGCGGCGAGGTACAACCTCGTCAACAACGAATTGTATAAAAGGATTTATGGGGGGCCCTTGGCGAAATGCTTGGGCCCAAACCAGACTCACTGTGGCAGACACATTGGTGACCGAGCACCTGCCAGATGCCTCATACAGGCAGGATACTATTGGGCCACCATGAATAAAGACGCTTTAGAATTCATAAAGAAGTGTGAACAGTGCCAGAAGTACGCCCCAATAATCCACCGTCACCTCGCCATGGACATTCATCAAATGGGGAATGGACATTGTGGGACCACTCCTGTTGGGACGAGGTAACATTAAATTCCTTTTAGTTTTGACTGACTACTTCTCAAAGTGGGTGGAAGCAGGCGCATTGGCCCAAATTCGCGAGCAGAAAGTAATTAACTTCATCTGGAAGTATGCCATATGCTGATTTGGCCTGCCCAAGGAAATAAGTTGTGATAACAGATCCTAACTCACATGGAGGAAAATCATCAAGTTTTTCTAAAAAATGGCATATCAAAAGAATACTCTTAATCTCGTACCATCCAGCTGGCAACGGGCAAGCAGAATCTCCCAACAAGTTGATATTGAACATCATGAAGAAAAGACTCGCAGATGCTAAGGGGTTGTGGCCCGAAATACTTCCATGAGTATTGTGGGCACACAAGAAGACTCCAAAAATAAGCATGGGAGAAACACCTTACTCCCTAGTCCATGGGTTTGAAGCAGTCATACCGGTCGACGTGGGAGAGCCCAGCCTAAGGTACGCCAGCGAGAGCGGCAATGACAATGACGAGAACAGAAGGCAAGATATTGATGAAGTCGAAGAACGAAGAGACATGACTTATGTAAGAATGGTCGCACAGAAGCTGCGAGCAGAACGCTACTATAATATAAAGGCCAAGGTACGGTTACTCAAAGTCGGAGACTACGTGCTCAAGGCCAAGACCAAAGTAGGAAGATACCCCCGAGAAGGGAAAATAGGAACAAACTGGGACGAATCATACAAGATCGTAGGTAGAGCAGACAAAGGGCCATTCTAACTAGAGACATTAGAGGGAAAGTTGTTACTGAACAATTGGAACATCAGCCACCTCAACTACTCCAACTTCTGAAAAACAAGGAATGTCCCGTAAGTTGTACTCTTTTTCCCTCACTTGATTTTTAGCGCACAAGGTTTTCTCAAGAAGATTTTTAATGAGGCAACGAACGGGATGTTTCGAGGTTGAATACGTGGGGACAGCCGCAATTCATTGCCCAACTCCTCAAGAATCTCCAAGTCGAACAATGAAGGGACTAGATATACTGGGACTAGGACTGGAACACCAGCCAGCACCTAAAATTTATGATTGTATTCAAACACGCCTTAGGGTGAAGTGATGTAATGGACGCAAAATGTGATTAAATGAATGAGATACCTAATTATTAGAACTATTCTTATAAATCCATTAATTAAGAGGAAGTGCATTCGACCAGCTCGGACAAAACTCCTCGGCCCATGGACACATTTCAAATATGAGAAAGTGCAACTGATCAACTCGGACAAAACTCATAGGCCCCTGGCCATGTCTCAACTAAGATGATGCACATTCGGCTAGCTCGAACAAAACTCCTCGGCATATAACTACACTTCAACTAAGAGGACGTAACGACCATCTCGAACAAAACTCCTCAGCCCATGGCCATGCCACACCTAACAAAGGGTACTCACTCGACCTACTTGAGTAGAATCCCCCAGCCCCACAGCCGTCACGTCCTAGAGGGCACATCCTCGACCATGTCAAAGAACTCTTCTCGACCCCATGGTCATCCCAACCGAAGGGATCAACTCCCAAACAGTTCGAGTAAAAAGTCCTCAACACAACGACCTCACCTAACGATGTTACGTGCTCACCTTGACAAGTAAGGCTCTAGAAGTCGTTAAAAACAAACGAGCACTTCGGCCAACAGGACACACGTGATTTTGGACAATAATAAAGGGAGAAATACAAAAGTAAATTTGAAACCACAAAGATGAATAAAAGCTATTCAAAGACACATGACCACTGAAACACCAAAAGAAAAAAGAAGGCGCGCACAAAACAAAATAGAATTCAATATATTGAGACAAAATTCTTTACAAGGCGCGTGAAGATTCCAACAAAAAGAAAAGAAAAGTACAAAGGGCTAAACAAAGAATAAGGGCGGAACACCTAGCGACCGCCCTAGACTTGGTCTTTGCCACCTTCTTCATCATCACCTCGATCATAAGCGGAGTCGCACCAGGTGATGTCTTCAAGCTCAGGGAGATCTTCTTCACCATCACCCTCTACATCAAGCTGAGGTGTGTCAGGTCATAACCGCTAGCCAACTGAGCATCACGAGCTTTAGCTCGAGCCTCTTCTAGGGCAGTTTCATAGATGAAGCCCGTGTGGCCCAACTCTCAGACCAC